AACTGGCCTCTGCATACTGTAATATGGAGTGCCAAAGAAGCTGCTGAAGAACCAGCTTCCAAGACTGGAAAGTTACGTATCATGCTGATGGAGGGCTGACTGGCACAGTCAGGCATCCATTGTCCTCCCCACCTCCTGGCAGCCCTACATCTACTCTGCATGCAGCCAGAGGATGCCTGTTGGGAATCCATTCACATGACAGAAGGGCTCCAGGCCCTGCCTCAAAGCTTTTCAGGGGTCAAATCTCATGTATAGCAAAGTATGGAAGGTTGTGTGTCCTCACACTGATTGTCCAGAAGGGCAATTTTGTGAGTCAATCAAAATGTAAGGAGAATCTGGGGGACTAAGCAGGGCTACTTGAAGTCATACTAAAAAGAAGTTGCTTCCTGTCTGGGTGTCAACCCTGCTCGTGGAATTAAACACACCATCACTTCCACGTGTTTGTATGTATTCTGGGGACAGGCACTGGATGTAGGAGAAATACAGCAGTTATAAAACGCCAAGGAGGATTAAAAGCCCATTTGCACTGTTACCTACCAGCTCCTCTGTTACCTCAGTGCCGTAATCCTCACAGCCCAGCACTGCTCAGCTGTCAGCAGCAAATGGGTGCACCTGCTAGGTGGGCTACACCCCACAGCACCCCTCCTATCTGAACAAGTTGATCCCTCAAGGTTCCAGTGACAGGTAACACTGACTTTCCTTTGTAGGTTTCCTTAGGGCTCTATAAACTCCAAGTACTTAGAATGGTTTGGTGTGCATTTAAAAACTTAGAGGATTCTTTGTTCCAGTGTGCCAAGATCTTTACTTGGGCATAATACTAATTTAAAGATAGAACAGAACAGGGGCTTCCATTTCATTTAATATTAAAGAGCTTTTAATCACATAAAGATGAATGAATCATTGTCAAATTGTCTCTACTGTTTGTGTGTACTTGTTTTCCAAAAAGGCTAGTTTGTGAGAGCTTGTTATATTTGCAGTGTGGTTCTCTTTCGTTAGGAACCTGCTGTGTTACTTACCTATAGCTGCATAACAAATTGCCACAAACTTAGTGGCTTCAACAACCAGCACTTATGCCTTCAGTTTCTTTGGGTTGTTATCGGGGCACAGCTTAGCTGGAACCTCTCACAGGCTGCTCCCATCAGGGACTTGGCTGGGACTGAGGTCTTGTCTGAGGCTAGAATGGGGAAGGATCCAAATCCAAGCTCATTTACATGATGGTGGTCAGGATTTGCTTCCTTTTGGCCCACTGGGCTGAGCTCTTTAGTCCCTAGCTGGCTGTTGGTTAGAGGCTGCCCTTGATTCTTTCTCACATCGCCCTCCCCAGGATGGCAGCTTGCTTCAGTAAAGCCACAAGGGAGAGTGTGTTGGCAAGGTGGAAGTCAGAATCTTCTGTAATCTAATCACACAAATGACACTGGCAGCAGTCTTGAGGTATTCCATTGGTTAGAAGCAGGCCATTGGGTGAAGGGGTTTGCACAGGGCCAAGCACAGGAGGCAGGGTCACTGTGGAACATCCTAGAAACTGCCTATCATGCCCACTACATTCTTTACTCCATGAATTCTTATTTATAAAGTAACTATTTTTAGAAGGTCATAGCTCTGGAAGTTACCTGCTCATTCTCTTATTGACTAAGGTAATACAGGAAATGGTATAGAAACACAAAAACAGATGAACTCACTTCTCCTACTCTTTTGAAGTTATCATTGGTTTGTTAACAACTAGATGGACATAGTGATACCAATTTCCACAAGTGCAGTCCTGTAGGATTTGGGGATTGAGGACAAGGTCTAGGGGCGAGGAGTCCTGAGTTTGTAGCACAGGATGATACCACACAGGGGAACCAGCAAGAAGCTGGACCTGTGGTTGCAGGAATTCACATGACATTTTGAAATTCAATGAAAGCTGACTAGCAACCTAAAAAGATGACTTGCATAAAACTTGAAAAGTAAAACTTACCAGATGCTAAATGAGTCTGCTGTTGGAGTTTGGGAGCTGATAATCTAAAGCCTGTGGATCTAAACCAATCTGAACTAGAATGTGCACAGGTCAAGGAATGCGTGTTTAAGAGGACGGATAGTTCTCAGTAAATGCAAAAGACATATATAAGAACTGCCTCATCTAGGAAGATACCGGGAAAATAGATTTTTCACTTTAGAATAAGGTTTTCATTAAACCTCTATAGAAATCCAAGAACCTACCATGTTAAATATAAACATTTAGAAAATACTGAGTTGAAAAAGAGGAAAGCCATTTAATAAACAGAGCAAGAACAAGTTTGCATTTGTGAGAAACAGCCTGATTTAATTCTGCCCAGAGATCTGGGCCCATGGAATATATGCATTGTGTATATAAAATCATTCCTCACTCAGAGTTTAAGTGAAGACTACAACCAGATGCCCTCTTATCCAGTCTCATTTCTGGCCTAATTATATCAGTAATGCTGCACATTAGTCATCATGGAATTCTGCAGAACTTGAGCCTTGCCTGCCAAGTGTCTTGCCTGACTGACAACCAGGACTGTGTGTTCAATGTGCAGACCCGGGCAGGGATGCACTAATCTGTGATCTCAGGGTTGCTTCACAAAGGGAATCCAACTTTTAAAGGCATATCTGTACCAATGTTACATTTTCTCTGATCACTTCAAGAACAGTTTCTATTACTACCTGCAACTGGGCACCCAAGTCAGAAAAGACAAAGTTTGGATCCCAGTGCCAACCCTTTCCTGTTGTGTGACTCTTAGTTAACACTCAACCAGTCCGATCCCGAGCTTGCTCATCTACATCAGGCCATCCCACGCGCTCGGGACACTCAGCTCTGCCCACAGCCACCATCAACCCATCTGTCTCCTGACGCCACTACGGGAACCTGGAGGCAGCAGCAGGAGGGCCTCTGACCTCCCTACCCAGGTCTCGCTCCCAGGAGTGTCCTCCTCTGACAAGCTGTGAATTAAGGGTGACAAGTGTGTCAGAGCACTGAGGACGTTGCTTGGCATATAGGAAGCACTCAATTAATGTTTATTTACAAGGGACCATCTACTGGAGACTGATGAGACACTGGGTAAGAAGTCCTGGGGGAGCCTGAGACATTTGCTGGGAGTGGTGAGAAGGGATGGTGGGGCCATTAGTCAGGGCAGCAAGCAGAGAACCTTCCAGACTAGGGCGTGGCACCTTGAGCACCACCGGGCAGTCATGACTCAGGTGCTAAGCCCTGACCAGGCATGGGGTGTGGTGAACGAAGACCTGGCCTGAGCTCACAGAGCTCCCTTCCTGGAGCTGGAGCCAACACGGTGGAGGGAGGGTCAGCCATGGAGCAGTGCAGGCTTCGGGCTGCGTGTAATGTAATTACACATACAAGCAGGGCAGACTTGGCTCTGGTCTACATTTAAAAGCTGTACTGGACCTATTGGTGGAGAGGGGTCTAGAGTCAAGAGCAGAGGCAGCAGTCTGCTGTGGTCACCGTGCAGTGGTCTGAGCCAGTGGCCAGCACCAAACCCAGCCTGAAGGACCTACTGGAAATCAGGTTTGAAGAGCTGATGAGGATGAGGGATGAAGGTAACACCAAACCTAGGTGTTAGAGGAGTAACTGGATGGGCAGATATGGAAAGCTAGAAACAAGCTCAAGGCAAGAGGGAATCCAACCTTTGAGATGTCTATTTGAGAAGCAAGTGGAAACATCCAGCTGGAAATGAGGCTTGAGCTCGGAGGAGTGGCTAAGACTCAAGGTATCAGTATGGGAAGGAAGATGAAATGGCCTCCAGCTGGAAAGCTAATTAAAGGAGAGCCCAGGATGCTTTTTGTTAGAGACAGTACAGCAGCTCACCGTAGCCACGAGAGGCTGCAGGGCACCATGGCCCACACTCACATCCAACAGCTCTTCAAACCCCAAGCACTGTGTCTCTAAAATATGGAGGCACAGGAAGATGTACACACAAGTATACAGTCTATGGAAGGAAAGTTACTTCTCAAGTTTTTGTTTGTTTCATTTTTTTTAAATTTCCTGAGTATAACCTAAAAGGCAAGTGATGGTTACATAGAAATGCAAATATCACAACCCCTAGGAATTGAAAGATGACAGCAAACATTAAAAAAAAGCAGTACCACCATTTTAAAATTGAGGCTGAATGTTATCAAAACACATTTAAGCGTGAAGTCATCTCACATTTGATGTTCAAAATCTAAAACTGGAGTACAGCAATAGCAGTAAAAGCAACAACTGTTTAACTTGTGAAAAATGTTTTCACAAATTTGATTTGTAAGAATTTCTAAGCAAGAGAAATGTGGTGAAAGGGAGAAAAGCAATGTTTTCTATCTCAAGCTCACAATCACTGGTTCTAAACTGCTTATTGGATTTAAGACATCTTAGTTTTTCACATGTTACATGGTCTTTTTGCTTCATCAATAATATCTATTTGTGATCACCCCCAAGCCACTAAGTGAAAGCTCACAATCTGGGATTCTCCAAGGAGAAGGCTATTAGCTGAGGCTGAGAAAACTTTATAAGGAGACTTAATAGTCATGGCTGAGAAGCAATTAAAATCACATTTCTTCTGGGTAAAGCCAGGTCACCTTTCCTACCTCACACCTTGCCACAGATGAAGATGTCCAATGGGGGAGCTTTTCTGTTCCCTCAGTGACCATCCTGCCACATCCCACTGGCACCTAGTGCAGGGCACCCCTCTAATACCTGGTTCTGGAGCAGCAGTCCTGTCTAATTTTAATTACAATAAATGCTACCTAAATACGTTAACCTCTCCAGTGTATATGCACAGATGTGAAGACTTCCCCACTCTGGAGAAAAACACTTTCAAAGTAAGTTTCCTTTCTACTCTGGGCAATTAGCTAAAAGAAGGAACAGAGAGGGAATTTTTTTAGGGGAAAGAAAACTGTAATGGAGAAGAAAAATCACAGAACAGACCCAGGAGCTTGGAAATTATCAGCAGAATAAAGTGAAACTGATTTCTGTATGACATCATATAAAAAAAAGACAAGTTCAGTGGAAATTAAGTTTTTTTTCTGAATATACCATATTAAAATACAGCCATATTTATTCAGAGTAACATAATCAGTGCAAAAATACATTTCTCTTCTCCCCTGTAAAAGTTAAGTACAATACTGTAGGCTAGATACATGATATTTTAGTCAGGTCTTCAGTATTAGCTTCTCAAAACCAAAAATCTAGTTATACATATCCAGTTTATCATACAAAATATATTAAAAAGTGTAATTGTAGTGTAGAAAAATGAAGTTACCAATATATAACTTAAGTAATTTACTTAACACAAAACATGCTGGTTAACTTTTTTTAAGAGCTTCACCAATTAGTCGAATAGCAACACTCTTGCCTTCGTCTGTTTGTATAAGGAGCAAAGCTTCAAATTGGCCCACTGACTTTGGTTTGAACTGCACAGGCATGTTGATGTAATGCTGAGCTCTGTGAAGAGAAAGGAAACATCAGCAGTCTGATGCTACAGCAAGAGAATCGCTGACCACAGCAAGCACAAGGCCTACAGAAAGCATGGCGGTTTTTGATGGAAGAACCAAGTGAAGTTATATTCAGTTTTTTAGTGTTATCTTTGATGCTATTATTTAATAAGAAACTGGCACAAAGGAGAGAAAATATGGAATCTGGTTCAAACAGCACTGCATCAGCATACTCCTGCTATCCAGTATAAACAGGAAAAGGGAAATGAGGTCTCATCCATTGTGCATGGACTGCCATGTACCACCTGCAAGAGCAGGCGCTGCCTACCTACAAAAGGGTGACACGAACACACACTGGCCTGATCCCGGGGGACCAGACAGACTTGCCCTGGGCCTGTCAGGAATAGGTATGAGCATTTTGGTTCCAAAACTCCTATGAAACTTATTATCAAAACCCATCTTGAAAATTTATTTTCAGATTATAGAGAGGCAGGTAATGAGTGTTCTGTGATTAAAAGCCATATGTTGGGAGGTTTGTTTTTCTTGATAAAACTAGGTCCGAAGTTGGTGAATGAGACTACATAAACTTTCACACAGCCTATGTGATGTCAACGGCTTTTAGTCCTAAGCATTTTTAAGTGAAAATTTATAGCTTTTAGACTTTCCTTTGAGGGAAGGTACTTCACCCTTTAGTCCTCAACTCATAGCTACATGTGTTAAGTTCAGCAGTTGGCACTCATAATGCTTTAGTTTCCAACGTATATTCTGATAAATCCCAGGACAGTGCTAGTTTTTGGGTGACAACAGCCCATGGGGCTAGAATTTAGAAAACAGTTTAAGTATTTCAAAGTCTTTTCCTGGATGTAACTGAAGACACAGAAAAAAATAGATATATTAATTTAAAAAAGTCTGGGTCATTTTCTCCAAATGCATTATAGTTTATTTTCCCACATCAAAGCTTATTGTGCTTTAAAAAAAAAAGGGTTCCCAGTCCACGGCATTGACAAACTACAATTTTCTCTTTCATGTTAGCATTTCAACACTCAGTAACATACTACAAGCAGCCAACTTAAGAGGCTTTATAATTTATGAATTACTAAATATCCCCAAATAAATCCCTGGATCTCATTACTATAGATTTCAGTATATTAAATAGAACTGCTCTACATTCAACTGAGGAAGTGTTTTCAGAAATATATTAAGATAAATATATCTGCTTTAGACTTACAGATACTTTGAATAAACTGGAATGTGATTTACAAAGAATCATTAAGCTTACTACAGTTTCATGCAGCCAAAAAACACTACCTGTCAGATGGACCTATTTAAAATATAACTTTGACTATTATCACAACCTGCTTTAACGTACACACACACGGAAAAAGGTAATAGTTATGTTCGGGGGTGCTGTGTATTTTTCCTTGGTTCTTGTCCCTGCCACAACAAAGAATTGATGGGCAGAGATACAGTAGTGAAGCAAAGTAAAAGTTTTATTTAAAGTTACCTAAAGAGAGAAAAAGTACTGGTGACCTCAGGGAGGAGAGGCACCCTGAAAGGTTGAGAAAAGGTTTAAGGCACTTAGAAAGTGTGGGCGACCTCAGAGAGAGGTGTGCACTGAAAGGTTGGGGGTTCCCACTTTTAAGTACTTTTCAGGAATGTGACAAAGGGATGGGGGTGCAGACTTGTTAAGTGGCTCCTGAATACTTAAAATTAACTTAACACAAGAAATTTACTGCTCTGATTTCTCCCTGAGATACCGGCTTTTTGGTCTGGGAGCATATTAAACAAGACCACCTGTCCTGCCCCCAAAGTGGGCTGAGTTATTGTCTGTTTGCTAAAGAGTAAGTTAAGAATCTTACTTCTTAACTTCCTGGGTTTTAAATGCAATCTTATCTTTAAGATGGAATCCTTCCTGCCTTTTACTATGTTGTTTACGTCTGGGCCTGCTTACTAAATTAGTTGCCCAGGTCACAAATTACTTGATTAGGGCTGAAGGAGGAAAAACAGCATACAGGTAAAGTTAAAAAAATAAGCGGGGCCTGCATGATAAACACAATAAAGACACGGGCTATGCTGAGACACTCTTCTTTATCTGGGGAATATTCAAACATTCCAGGCCAAGTTGCTCTTGGCCTTTTGAGGTTTAACTGATTAATTCATTAACTCTGGGTCTTTTCTGGGTTTCTAGTTTAATTGGTTAACTCTGAGTCCCTTATAGTGGGCTTTACTGGCTTTATTTCTCTCTCTACCCTGCTCATATCTATTTTCCTGCCTGACAGTTAAGCATGCTGAACCCAGTGAAGTGGTGTAGTTCAAAACCTTCCAGGAGCTAACAACTGACTGTACAGCCAAGGTACATGAGCAAAAATAAGTTGATAGCAGAGGCAGTTGTGGACAAGCACTGCAAACTGCCTCATTCACTATATTTGCATTAAGGGCTTAGCAGAACCTACAAATTATTTAAATCATTGTGGGTAACATTGTAATATTTCCAGAATATTTTGCCTGGCTTTAGTGCATCTGCCTATCAACAGGCATTCAGGGGTGGAGAGAAGTATGGCTTTGGTTAATTTGCTTATCAATACGTGCTCCTCAGGAGTGAAGAAAGGTTCATCTCCATATCAATGGGTAATTACCTGGACAACAGAGGGCTTATCTGAACCTGTGAGGTTAGGGTGAGTGCTGATTTTCCTTCTGCAGGGGCAGGAAAGGGAGATGGACCCGGACTGCAGTTTGTAAGCAATAAACAGGTTTTAAACTTTATCTCTCCCTTTGACTGATTTCGGTTTTAGAGGTATTTTGCAAGCAGGATTTCCTTTCTCTGGACTTACAACCATATTTTTTTAATTTAAAAGAAATACTTTGTGTAGGAAAAAGCCAGCATATGAGCACATCAGTGTACCATCATTACCAAATTGAGAACTTTAACAAATTGCTTGGCTCCTATGCATCAGTGAGGAGTCCTGACAGCTCAGTGATAGGGCTTCCTTGTCTGTGACTTTTGTGACAATTGTCATTCCCTCTGAACTGACACTCAGGGTCTGCCTGCTTGGAAGCAGTAGCTGACCAGGACCCGCAGAGGCGCCAGTGCACAGAAGAGCATGCTTCAGCAGCAGGGGCCACAGCTGGGCCATGTGGCTGGTTAACGGAAGACACTTTTCAGGGCTCAGTGGGAACAGGAACAGATTCTTTCTACTAAAAGGGATAAGAAAGAGATGGCTGCCCAGAGCCCAAAGAACCTTTACAAAAACTGCTAGTCAACATTTCCTCATCCCTGTTACTTTTTATAATCTATCACTTTAAAGGGCTAAATATCCCCAACACACACTTAGGCCCACTGACACCAGCACTGGGTGAAACCCCTGCAGCAGGGGTACTGCTGCACCAGCATGAGGCCTTACTGGGAGCTGCCTCACTGGGCGTGGGAAAGGGGCCTACAGGAAGGCAGTTACTACCTCAGGTGCCCTACAGATGATGAGTCCTGTGACTGCTCTGGAAGCATGCTGCTGGTGTCGCAGAGCAGACAGCGATCGAATAAATCCAAGTGTGATTACGAAGCTGGGGATTGTTCCTCATGATTCTCAGGACAGATTCTATTCCACCTGCCAAGGTAAGCCAACTGTTGCTCCCAACCAGCAATTACATTTCATGAACCCCTAACCATAGTCAAAGTGTCTAAGTTTTGTGGTAAGCTTTCACATAAGGTACTGTAGCAAAGTTCTGCTTCTGCAAAGCTGAAAGAAATCATCCTTATGTATAAAGAAACCAGCTTCTCTGGTTTCTTTTCATACACTTTAACCCTCTAGATGTGTCAAGAGAAGAGTTTTCTATGACCCAGAGTTTACTTCATTTGGTTAAACAGATCACAATTATTGTTTTACAGTATTTTTATTCTATTTTATCAAATTTATAGAGTTGCTGCTATTAAAGTTGATGCTGGAATCAGTAACATTACATATTTATTCTAAGTTCCATAATGATAGTTAGGATGGATGAATACTTTCTGGGAACTTGTCATGATCAAAATAATTTAAGTACCTGCCACTAATAAAGTATAACATTATCTTATTTATCTTTAAGGAATAAACATTTAAAAATATTTTAAAGTAATAACATGTTCAAAGAGAATAAAGCAAACAAAATGTGTCTTGTGATGCTATTTTAAATGGTAGCTTGCTGTTCAAATTTTGCTTAAAAATATCTTCTCATGTTTCTAAGTTTTTTAGGTACCATTAGCATGACTTAGGCTGGATAGAAAAGCAGTGTTCTAATTTATGACAGCTTAAAATCTCCTAGCCCTGGGATGCAAGTTTGTAAGTTCAACTCTATAGAAATGTCTACTACTACTTTGAGGCCAGCAAGGAACAAATTTTATATTTCAAAGTTGATTTTTAGAAAAGAAGGTGAATGCCATCTCATTTATAAAAACCACATTTCTCATTAATGTTTTAAGCATCATTTCCCATCATGTCTATAATCTTGAAGTCAGGATATACCTGAAAAGGAGGAGACCAAGCAGCTGCTGCTAAGGCAACTATTAAATCCAGGTAGGTTTATACTGAAGAAGAAATGTCACTGGCTTGTTAAAAAAAAATCATACGATCAAAAATAAAGATGGCTAATATGAAAATGATTTGACATTTTAATTGCCAAACTATAATTTCACTTTAGTTAACATCAGTACTCCAGGAATTTATACCTTCATGACAACTACACTATACCATGAGGACCGCCACCTGGAAGTCCCCGTCTCTGTCCTTTGCTAGCCTTGCTTGTCTACCCCACATTAGGAATAGGCACTGCCACTTGTATGCCACTGCACTGAGATAGGCTTAGTTTCTTTCTCTGCAAAGGGTCAAGAACAAACTGCAGCTGAAATAGAATTTAACAAAAAAATCTGTGAAAGCAAATTAAGCAAAGAACATGACATGAAAAGAGAATTTGAAATCATGTGAAATGTATTTAGTGGAGACAGTTGGAAAATAAATATTTAACTCCAAGCAAGTGCTGATCACCTCATCCTCTATGTACCATACCGTAAAAAAGGGGTACAATGACATAAAGCTAAACAATTTAACAAGCTATTTTAATTAATAAAGCTTTACAAAACTGTAGACATGCTGAATACAAGCACTGTTTTCTAAAAAGTTGGTACTAGGCTCTTCAAGAGAATTAAAAAAAAGATCTGTAAAATTTCTTAATTTTTAGAAGCCTTTTAAAAAATCTTTTTTTTAAAAGATAACTCCTTGAAACAAAAACGTAAAGACCTCCCAGTCAGTTGTAACAGCTGTAGGCCAGTTTACACAGAAATATTCTGATCTACTTTGTGTTTAAAGATACACACCTACAAAAAGCTGGTTAAGATCAGGGATGTGAACCAGGGAGAGGATAAATGGGAAGCACAAAATTAATAATGGAGACATGATAAAGTTCAAATTTAGATAACAAAAGTGCTCAGGATCTATTTATACTCAGTTACTAAAAAGTTATAATTGGGAATTTAAATGACCTACTTTAATAAACGAATTGCTTCTGCAGTCGTGCGGCTAGCAGCACCAGCTGTAACACACAGCACAGCCTCAGCAGTCTTACACCGTCCAGGGTGAACTCGCACTAACTGGATGGATCCAGACTGCTAGAGACAAGAACTCAGCTGGGGAAGCAGGAAAACTCAGATTTAGAAGTTTTTTAAGCTCAGGCCTTTCCCTCTTATGTAGTTGCTGAAGGGATTAGATGGGAAAGCAGTGGTATGAAACATGATTTCTGTGAGAATCTGTGGAGTCAGTCTTGGATCTCACCAGTAAGGCCAGCTGACAGGAGGGCTTTATTAATACTGCATCTGCTGAGGGCTTCCTGTGACAGGCACTAGCGGCCCACATGCCTCTTACTACTTCTCACAACTCCATGCTGCCCAGAGCATTAGCACCTCCATTTTATGAATGAGGAAACTGAGGCATGATCGCTTTCTGTTCATTGTTGAATCTGCCTCGGTGCCTTTAGGTCAGTCTCCTGGGAGGTAAAGGAAGTCTCAAGTATATAACTAACATATTTTATAGTAACACAGGATGGGTACGGGGCAGTGGAAGAGATGGGAGAGGAGAGAAAGGGTGAGAGGTGGAGTGAAGCCTGAGAGATGTGTAGCCTTCTGGGGTCCAGCACTGCTGGTTTGATTAGCTCAGTTAAGACAGTCCTGGTGAGAATGTCTGCAGACTGGACCAAGTGTTCATAGAATATAGCATGTTTTTGGAATAGCCTCCTAGTGCTAAAATGAAAGTGCTAAAATGAATAATATTTAAATGGCTTAATTAAGGATTCAAAGATGAAGATAAAATAATTCTTCAGTATAAAGTCCAATAGAACCCTACAGCTAAAATCCTAAAAAACAGTGACAAATCTGTTTAAGATTTCAAACTAAATAAACATCATATGGAAAAAGAAAGTAGCAAGGATGACAAGTAAATGAGGCCCTGATTTAAGAATATAGGGTATTTGAGGAATGACAACCAGAAAATAAGTTTCCTCAATTAACCTGGGAAGAGATTTGTCCCAATTAGTGAAATTTTAAATCCCTGATTCTCAGAATAGTAAAAGTAACATTTGAAGCAGGAATTATTCTAATGTTAATCATGGATAATTAAGGTTCTATGTATTTATGTTGCTGGCAAAATACTGGGGAACAGGAATCACATGCTAAGTCCAAATCACTGTGTGAAGCTGGACTGTGCTTTGCTACAGTAAGGCATGCTGTGGGCAGTAATGGAAGGTGTTCTTTGTGGTGGTTCTTGATCTCTCCCATTTACAAAGAATCATGTTCACAATGCTGTGTGTGCTGCTGATGAAGATGAGTGAATATAACAGAGGGAGACCCCCACAAGGATGAGAATATTTTCATTTGTGATAAACTCACCTCAGAGAATATTTTGAATGTTTGACGTAGAAAGGCTCTCTGGGACTTAAAAACTTGAGCTAGAATGTAATATGAAACATTTCATGAAGTTATGCAAGTCAAATACCTGAGCATACTTAAAACAAACTATGCATGTTTTATGCATTAAAGATACATTTATAAATTTAAATATAGACACAAAATTAGGTAAGATAATAAATGCTCATGAGAAAACATTTAAGGGAATTTTAATATGAATTTACTCCAGTTTTGATAAGTGTTATCCAGAAATATGTTGGTGTGATGGTACAGAGAAAGAAAAAATGAGAAAAGTAAAAAAATGAAAATATGAAAACAAATGCTAAATATTTTCTATTTCCAGATTAAAGGTCATGAACTTCCCATGAGTTTCTTTTCAAATACAGTATAAGGCATTAAAAAATTAACTCATTATTATAATTTAAATACAACCTGTAAAACAGCTTCTAATTATTAGGAAAAGTTTATCTAGTGGAATACAGTTACTTTCCCAAAACCCATAGCAGCATTTCCAACTTACCGAGTGTGTAATAAAAGAATTATTTCGCAAATTGACTTTTAATGTCCTTGATTCCCCAACTCTAGTTGGCAGGAACTGATACACGTCTTCTGGGGCATAAACTCCACGGTGGGTAAAGTCAAGCTGTCTACTTTTGGAAATAGGTTAAAAGTTAACTATTTAAGACTCTTCATAATTTAAACTATTTATATATTAAGTTGTGAAGCGTTGCTTTATTTGTGTTTTCCCGCACAACTGTTAAGAAATAGTTTTGTAATGGCAATTTAACTCATCTGACAGCAGGAATGCCCCTGTGGCTGTGTGGGGCCAGGTGACACCACCTCCATCCTGTGTGCCAAACCCGGTGTGCACTGGAGGCCCTTCCACTTCTCCTCATTTCACTTGAACTACCCGAGCGCAGTCCCCTGGATGCTTTTCACTTTACAGGGACAGACTACTCAGAGAGTGGGACATCAGGTTTCGGCAGCGTTTGATGGCAGTGAAAGCACTTCCTCTTGCCTTGCTTCCAGGTTCTAGGCTGCCACCCATCAGTGTGTGTGGGCTCATGTCCACTCCCACACCTCTCCTGCTCCAACCCTAACTACTCACACTTCACCCTCTTAAGCAATCCCATCTCCTGTGATCCAGTGACCTCCCACCTGAGTGAGGCCAGATCTGCATCTCAGCTCAGACTGAGCTGCTGAGCAACACACCTACACACCTACCTATCCAATCAACCACACAATTACACCCTATGGTTATCTCAAAGACTTCTGTGTCTCCACAAATACAGACTAATCTCTGATCTTTTCCCTCTAATCCCCCACTTGATTTTCTATCTTGGGGAATGGAATCTGGGAGCCACCTGACCCCCTTCTCTCTTATGTCCCTTTATTCAACCCACCACCAAGTCATCCAAATTTCCTTCTTATATACTTCTCAATCTAATTCTCATCTTTCTTGACAGTATCTTAGTCCTGGACTGCTCTGGTTTACTGTATCTACTCTTGCATCCTTCTAATCAGTCCATACTGCAGTCAGATAGATTTTTCTATAAAGACCTGCATCTGCTCACATCACTCAATGGCTTTCAATAGCTTTCCAGATAAACACCTGAAAAACACCTGACACACAGGCTCTGCATGGAATGGTCTGCCCGGTTTCCTCTCAAGCCTCACCTCCCCCAACTCTGGGCCTCAGGCCCAGGCTGTGTTCAGCTCCCATCCAGAGCCAATGATCACCACTTTCCTATGTCTTCTTCCAGTCACCTCCTCTCACCCCTCAACTGAAAGGTCCTATTCCAGGGAGTTTCTTCCCAGGTATAATGGAGGACACACCCTGTCATGTTTTCCTACAGATTTTCTTCTAGTTCCTTCTATAGGTTATAATGTATGAGTATTTGTTATGTGGCCCCTTCCCCAGAGGTTGAAGTCCATGAAGGCCAGGATCAGGGCAGGTTTGTGGACTGTTCTCTCCACTGTGTGGCAGGAGGTGAGCACTCAGGAACTATGAGATGAGTGTGTAAGAACACATATTCTTTAAAGGATTCTATTTTTTTAAAATTAAAGTATCATTGATATACAATCTTATAAAGGTTTCACATAAACAACATTATTGTTTCAACATTCACCCATATTATCAAGTTCTCACTCCCCCTGCACCCATCACAGTCACTGTCTATCAGCGTAGTAAGAGGCTACAGAGTCATTATTTGTCTTCTCCGTGCTGTACTGCCTTCCCCAAGACCTATCTCTGTTGTGTGTGCTAATTACAGTGCCCATTAATCCCCTTCTCCATCCCTCCCCACCCACCCTCCCTAACTCCTTCCCTTTGGTAACCAGTAGTCCTAAAGGATTCTAATTTCTTACAAAATACATTTTTTACCCCTTTTAGAAAATAAATGACCACATTTACATTAAATTCAGCAGGTACTTAATTAATAGGTATTTCAGGACATGCTTTTCTTATAAGCATCTTCCTCCAGAACTGTTAGACTAAATATTAGTTAAGAATTATAAGAAACATGTTCATTAGGTAAAATTATTAAATATCATTAAAGCTGTGTAAGCTTCTGTTATAAAATACACATTTAAAAAAGTTTTTAAGAATCTACTTTCATACACTTTTTAGGAATGTAAAATGGTACAACCACTTTGGGAAAACTATTTGGCAATACATGCTTACCAGATGACCCAGCAATTCTTCTTTTGGGTATTTTTACCAAAAAGAATTGAAAAAATATGTCCACAAAAATAGAAACACAATAATATTTATAGCACCTTCATTCATAATGATTCCAGACCAGAAGCCACCCAAATGTCAACAAGAAAATAACAAATTGTGATACATTCACATAATGGAGTATTAAACAAAAGGAGTTAACTACAGATGTACTCAACATAAGCAACCCCCAAAATCATTATGCTAAGTGAAAGAAGCCAGACACAAAGACTGCAAAGCTATATGAAGTTCAACAAAACTAACTTATGGCAAAAGATCAGAAGAGACATCTTGAAGTAGTGGGTGGCAAGGACTGCAAAGGGACATGTAGGAATTTCTGGATGAGAGAAATATACTTTCTCTTCTCTGGAGTGGTAGCAACACATGTAAACTCACAGGTCAAGTGATGGAGCATTTTTCTGAATATAATTATACTCAATAAATTACCGAAAAAAATTCCTAAGAATGACAAAAACAACATACCCAGATATGAGAGTAGAAGCCTCTGATGCAGCTTGTCTTCGGGGCTTAACTAAATTATCTATTTTAATGAGGGTATTTGTGGAAATGTATGAATTTTCAGGCTTATTTTCTGCTTTGACACTCTGTATAAAAAACCACAAGGTCGAGAAGGAGAAGTAAATATTCTAGGAAAATATATAGACACTTACCTATTTGAATTCCAGCATTTCCTCCATAATTTTTAACCGAAGATTTTTTTAAATTCCACAAATTACAAACCTATTCTGTACTCTTCAGATTCTTACACCTAAAGCAAGTCAAAAACAGATTTCACAGAGCCAAAACAAGACCTCAAACATGCCAATCAATAAAGACGAAGGAGAAAATTAAGATTGTAGGGCAATGCAACAGAGCTAATGAAATTAGAATAATACCAGAAAAACAGTATGCATTTTCAGGCCAGTTTTTCACGTCAGTTTCAATCCATGTTCTTAATATACACATGCAGTTATTTACTTAAATTCAGAATAATACTCACTTGTCCAGAGAGCTGAAATCTCAGTGTGTGTTTCATGTGAGGCTCTTTAATGGGGTGACACTCAACATCCCAAAACTGGGCATAATGCCCTCTATTTCTGGGCAAAAATGTGATGGAGACCTACAAAACACCACATCCAAGAGAGAAATTAGACATTGGGCCTTACACACATGTAGTTAGATGACCAATTCAAAGTGTCTGTATGAAAAAATTAAAGGGAAGGTTATTTTTTGCATTGGCTAGTTTTGACATTAATTGAAAAATAATTTGAAAAATTCTATTCTTAGCAGGCTTGTTACTATACCAGATCCATTTCAAAATACATTTTTCTTTAAGGCTTTAAGTAACATATTCCTCAAACTGTTAAGTTTTAAAATTTGGACAAAAAAAATTCTACAGCTGTCAAGTACAAGACCTAAATGAGGAAGGTCCAACCCCAGAAATACAATCCAGTCTCTCATTGTGATGGCTATAGAGTAAGGCCTAGTAGTAGATCGCCACTAGGTGGAGAGGCCTGAATGCATAGACAGAAAGTGTGAAGAAATAGTGGGTGCCTAACAGGAGGTAGAGAAGGCAGTACCATTACATAAAAGCAGCTTTTATTAGTATTAACTTCAGCATCTTGGTCAGAACAAGTCAATCTGAACACACTGCTCAAAGTAATATATATAAACTATGTGTACAACTTGTAAAAAGCTCAATAATGAGGAAGTTGTAATACTTAAAAGTAGTATTTTATGAACTTTACCAGCATTAAGAGCTTTCTTTAACAAAGAATTTAGTGTTAAAAATACTGCTATTTAGGTTAATGATCAGTATCTTTGAGTCTGAACCTAACATTAAAACACATATGCAACCTAACTTCTGTTAATATAGAACATAAGAAATAATGCAGCCATTCAATGCCATTCCTACCAAAATACCAATGGCATTTTTCAGTGAACTACAGCACACAACCCTAAAATTCACATGGAACCATAAAAAAACCCAAATAGTCAAAGCAATCCTGAGAAAGAAGAACAAAGCTGGGGGTATTATGCTCCATGACTTCCAGCTCTACTAAAAGGACAGTAATGAAAACAGTATGGTATTGGCAAAAAAACATACCCATATATCAATAAAACAGAATAAAGAGCTCAGATATAAACCCATGCATATACGATCAACATATGATAAAGGAACCATGAATATACAATGGGAAAAGACAGTCTCTTTAATAACTTGTGTTGGGAAAACTGGACAGTTACATGTAAGAGAATGAAACTGAATTACTGCCTAACTCTATATACACAAAAAAGTAAACTCGAAATGGATCAAAGACCTGAATGTAAAACATGAAACCATAAAACTCTTGGAAGAAAACAAAGGCAAAAATCTCTTGAACATAAGCAGCAATTTTTTCCTGGACACATCTCCTTGGGCAAAGGAAGCAAAATAAAAAATAAAAAGTGGGACTACATCAAACTAAAAACCTTCTGTACAGCAAAGGACACCAACAGCAGAACAAAAAGGCATCCTACAGTATGGGAGAATATATTCATAAATGACATATCTGACAAGGGGTTAACATCCAAAATACATCAAGAACTCATATGCCTCAACCCCAAAAAACCAAGTAAACTGATTAGAAAATGGGCGGAGAACCCAAACAGACATTTCTCCAAAGGAGAAATATAGATGGCCAACAGGCACATGAAAAGATGTTCCACACTGCTAATCAACAGGGAAATGCAAATCAAAACCACAATGAGCTATCACCTCATACCAGTTAGGATGGCTGCAATCCAAAAGGTAAGAAATAACAAGTGTTGGCGAGGATGTGGAGAAAAGCAAACCCTCTTACACCGTTGGTGAAAATGTGAATTGGGGTAGCCACTGTGGAAGACAATATGGAGGTTCCTCAAAAAACTTAAAATGGACATATCACACAACCCAGTAATTCCACTTCTAGGAATTTAACTGAAGAAAACAAAATCCCTGATTCAAAAAAATATATGCATCCCTGTGTTTATTGTCGCATTATTTACAATAGCCAAGATATAGAAGCAACTAAAGTATCCACCAATAGATGAGTGGATAAAGAAGATGTGGTATGGGGATAAAGATTAGAGATGGCCGCATGAGAGGTGTGAAAGAGGCTTACTCCTAAAACCGCATATAATATGAAAATACAATTAATACAACTAATCCTGAAAGAGCAACAGGAAAGAGGGCTGCACCAGACTGCATACACCTGTAGAAAAGAATAAACCTCACAGAACACAGTAACATACCAAAGCCATGGTCCGGTGGGACCCAAGACCATCCCCTACTCCAGCTCACTGGCGGGAGGAAGAGAAACAAAGTGGGGAGGGAGTGGAGGCCTGGGACTGCTGAACACCTACCTCTGGAGATCTGCTCTGGGAGCACAAACCTGTATTTCATGGTGCTCTCATGATGAGGGGGGTTGGAAAGCTAAGAATGACAGAATACGTGAGAGAATGAGATTCTAGCTGCTTGTGGAAAGCAGGGATCCATATAAGGTTGCTCTGGGTCAAAAGAAAGGCAGGCAGTCTGAGAGACTTCCTAACAGTGAGAGGGTTGATAAAGGGGCAAGAATTGCATAGAGCTTACTGCTCAGGAGAAAGGACAGGTAGACAAAATTGCCTAGATGCACTCTGCCCAGCAGGTTGGGAAATTTGACAATCTTCAGATGCTCCAGCCACCTGGCTGGCTACCCAGGTCCAAGGAACCCACCATGATAGGCAGCCTGCTGTGCCTTCCTCCTGGCCAGCCCCACCTGACTCACAAAACGCCAAACTCTACCCTGGCATTAGGCCAGCCAGAGGGAAGTCTACATCAGCTACAAATGCAAAGCATAGAGGCTTATACCTGTGTGCTTGGCCCACTGGTTCTGGCAGTGGAGACAGGCATAGCAGCCGGGAATCAGGAAACAGCTCTTTCCTCCCTGCAGGCACCAACCCCTGCAACCCCTGACATCACTCCAGGGACTGAGCAGCTCCAGAGAGTAGAGACTGTGCGGACTAGAGGGTGCTACATACAAATATGAAATGTCAAAGGAACAAGGTTCAAAGCAAAATTATGAATACACCAGAGAAAGATTCAAATGAAATCAACCTCATGAATCTTCCTGAGATTTCAAAATAAAAATCATTAACATGCTCATGGAGGTACAGAAAAATATTCAAGAACTTACAAATGATTTCTGGTTGGAAATCCAATCATTATGGAACACAGTAGCAGAAATGAAACATACAATGGAAGGTTTTAAAAGCAGATTAGATATGATGGAGATGGTAAATCAAATAGAAATTAGAGAAGAGTAATACAAAGAAGCTGAGGCACAGAAAGAAAAAAGGATAAGAATGAAAGAATATTGAGAAAACTGTGTGACCAATCCAAATGGAACAATATTCGCATTATAAGAGTACCAAAGAAGAAGAGAGAGAAAAAGGGATAGAAGTGTCTTTCAGGAGGTAACTGCTGAAAAATTCCCCAATCTGGGAAAGGAGATAGTCTCTCAGGCCATGGAGGTGCACAGATCTCCCAACACAAGGGACCCAAGGATGACAACACTAAGACATATAGTAATTAAAATGGCAAAGATCAAGGATAAGGACAGACTATTAAAAGCAGACAGAGAGAGAAATAAGATCACATACAAAGGAAAGCCCATATAGCTATAATCAGACTTCTCAGCAGAAACCGTACAGGACAGGAGGGAGTGGTATGATGTATTTAATGCAATGAAGCAGAAGGGCCTTGAACCAAGAATACTATATCTGGCGAGATCATCATTTAAATTTGAAGGAGGGATTAAATAATTTCCAGATAAACAAAAGTTGAAAGAATTTGCCTCCCACAAACTGTCTCTACAGTGTATTCTGGAGGGACTGTTATAGATGGAAGTGTTCCTAAGGTTTAATAGCTGTCAACAGAGGTAAGGTAATAAAACCACAGTAAAGAAAGTAGAGCTGTTAATTACTAAGCAAATGCAAAATAAAATCAAGTAGACCCAAAGTCAATCAAGGAATAGACAAAGAGTACAGAATATGATACCTAATACATAAAGAATGGAGGAGGGAAAAAAGGGAGGAGAAAAAAAGAACCTTTGGATTGTGTTTGTAATAGCATATTAAGTGAGTTAAGTTAGCCTCTTAGATAGTAAGGAGGTCAACCGTGAACCTTTGGTAACCACTAATCTGAAGCCTGCAAAGGCAGTAAGTACATACCTAGTGATAATCACCCAAAATGTAAATGGTTTGAATTCACCAACCAAAAGACATAGTCACTGAATGGATAAAAAGACAAGACCCATCTATATGCTGCCTACAAGAGACTCATTTCAAACCCAAAGACATACATAGACTAAAAGTGAAGGGATGGAAAAAGATATTTTGTTCAACTAATAGGGAGAAAAAAGCAGTAGTTACAGTACTTGTATTAGACAAAATAGACTTCAAAACAAATAAAGTCACAAGAGACAAAGAAGAACATTATATAACGATAAAGGGGTCAGTCCAACAAGAAGATATAACCATTATAAATATCTATGCTCCCAGGAGCACCTACATATGTGAAACAAACACTAATAGAATTAAAAGGGGAAACAGAATACAATGCATTCATTCTAGGAGACTTCAACACTACACTCACTCCAAAGGACAGATCAACCAGACAGAAAATAAGGACAGAGGCACTGAAAAACACATTAGAACAGATGGACCTAACAGACATCTACAGAACTCTACACCCAAAATTAGCAGAATAAACATTCTTCTCAGGTGCACGTGGAACATTTTCAAGAATACATCATATACTGGGCCACAAAAAGAGCCTCGGTGAAGTCAAAAGGATTGAAATTGTACCAACCAGTTTCTCAGATGACAAAGGTATGAAACAAGAAATAAATTATGCAAAGAAAGTGAAAAAGCCCACAAAAACATGGGACCTTCACAACATGGTCCTAAACAACCAATGGATCAATGACCAAATAAAAACAGAGATCAAGCAATATATGGAGACAAATGACAACAATAATTCAACAACACAAAATCTGTGGGATTCAGCAAAGGCCGTGCTAGGAGGAAAATATATTGCAATACAGGCCTATCTCAGGA